GATTTAGATGACGTTCAGAGCACATTTTATGCCCAATTCATGCAAAACTCCACGTAATCCCAAGGGGTTCACATACTTTTTCTTGCAACTGTAAGTCCTCCAAGGGACTTCAGAGACAAGAGGCCAGCGCGAATCCCATCATGGGGGTAGACACTCATTACAGCTGACGTGAGGGGTGGTCAGAGACTGCAGACAAAATACGAGGGGTGGTCAGAGACTGCGAACAGGATACGAGGGGTGGTCAGAGACTGCCGACAGGATACGAGGGGTGGTCAGAGACTGCGAACAGGATACGAGGGATGGTCAGAGACTGCGACAAGATACAAGGGGTGGTCAGAGACTGCCGACATGGTCAGGGGTGGTCAGAAACTGCGGACGTGATACAGGAGATGGTCAGAGACTGCGGACGAGATACAGGAGATGGTCAGAGACTGCGGACGAGATACAGGAGATGGTCAGAGACTGCGGACGAGATACAGGAGATGGTCAGAGACTGCGGACGTGATGCAGGAGATGTTCAGAGACTGCGGACGTGATGCAGAGATGGTCAGAGACTGCGGACGTGATACCAGAGATGGTCAGAGACTGCAGACGTGACACCAGAGATGGTCTGAGGGTGGGTGGAGCTGCGTGACATCAGTGGCGGAGATCTGGGACTATAGCACTTGTTCCGCACAGCTGCGCTACTTTCCTGCTGGCTCTAGGGAGTGATAGCCCGGCCTGGTCGGTGCCATAACCAGGGGACATCTTTTTAAAGGGACGGCTTCTAGTGGAGAAATGCTGTGGTTTGGGTGACCCATAGCGCCCTCTTGCTGCCTCTACACAGCCATATGTCCTGGTGAGTGCCGTGTGCGGAGTGCGTTTCGGAGAGCACTCAGCAGATCTGATTGTCCTTAAAGGAGGACCAAATGTCCTCCTCTTCTGAACTGCCGGGATTGGTGTATTTTCTGCACCAGCATGTCCTGTACAGGAGTCGGATTTCACGTTTATCATATATATATATATATATATATATATATATATATATATTTTTTTTTTTTTTTTGTAAATTCATTGTATATGTTTATTTTTTTACATAAAGTTTTTTTTTTTTTTTTTTTTTGCGCTACACTTTCATTCAATGGTCACTGTGCGCTGATGTCACCAGGACATGTGATGTGCAGTGGTTTGGCACGATTTCAAAGTTGGGCTTGATATGACCGGGGGGGTAAGAGTAAGTACCTGAATTTAGCCTGATGTCAGCCTTATGCAGTCCCTGTACAGCAGAGCTCAGACAGGGACAAAGAAGCAGCCCCGGAAGCCAAGCATGTACTGCAGTGCAAGGAACACACTGATGGTAGGAGAGATCAGAGTGGCAGAGAAATCAACATATCAGTCTGCTGCTTCTTTCACTGTCCAATCACAGGTTGAAGATGGAAAATAAATCTCTAAGTGTAAGTGAACTGCAGCAGAGAAAAATCAAGTCATCTTCCCTATCAGATAGGATTGTGCTTTATGACAGAGCTGTGTAAATATCAGGACTGGATGAATAGAAATCTAATTCCTGTGGTGGGTACAATAGCTTCCATATCTGTATTGTGTCTGTTTGTTCTGAATTCTGCCTGGGGTTCATCTTTAACTCCTCAGCAGTGGTGTACCCCGGGGCTGTGTCTGTTGAACTTGTACATCCCCCCACACAGAGGAATGCGGGACCCGCACAGATACCTGCAGCCGCACCACCCACACAGAGGAATGGGGGACCCGCACAGATACCTGCAGCTGCACCCCCCACACAGAGGACTGCAGGACCCGCACAAATCCCTGCATCTGCACTCCACACAGAGGAATGGGGGACCCGCACAAATACCTGCAGCTGCACCACCCACACAGAGGAATGGGGGACCCGCACAGATAACTGCAGCTGCACCCCAAACAGAGGAATGGGGGACCTGCACAGATACCTGAAGCTGCACCACCCACACAAAGGAATGCGGGACTCGCACAAATACCTGCAGCTGCACCACCCACACAGACGAATGGGGGACCCGCACAAATACCTGCAGCTGCACCACCCACAGAGGAATGCGGGACCCGCACCACCCACACAGGACTGCGGGACCTGCACAAATCCCTGCATCTGCACCCCACACAGAGGAATGGGGGACCTGCACAAATACCTGCAGCTGCACCACCCACACAGAGGAATGGGGGACCCGCACAGATAACTGCAGCTGCACCCCACACAGAGGAATGGGGGACCCGCACAGATACCTGAAGCTGCACCACCCACACAGAGGAATGCGGGACTCGCACAAATACCTGCAGCTGCACCACCCACACAGACGAATGGGGGACCCGCACAAATACCTGCAGCCGCACCACCCACAGAGGAATGCGGGACCCGCACCACCCACACAGGACTGCGGGACATGCACAAATACCTGCAGCCGCACCACCAACACAGAGGAATACGGGCTCGCACAAATACCTGCAGCTGCACCCCCCACACAGAGGACTGCGGGACCCGCACAAATCCCTGCATCTGCACCACCCACAGAGCAATGCGGGACCCGCACAGATACCTGCAGCCGCACCACCCACACAGAGGAATGCGGGACCCGCACAGATACCTGCAGCTGCACCCCCCACACAGAGGACTGCGGGACCCGCACAAATCCCTGCATCTGCACCCCACACAGAGGAATGGGGGACCCGCACAAATACCTGCAGCCGCACCACCCACACAGAGGACTGCAGGACCCGCACAGATACCTGCAGCTGCACCACCCACAGGAGGAATGCGGGACCCGCACAAATACCTGCAGCCGCACCACCCACACAGAGGAATGTGGGACCCGCACAGATACCTGCAGCTGCACCCACCACACAGAGGACTGCGGGACCCGCACAGATATTCCTGCATCTGCACCCCACACAGAGGAATGGGGGACCCGCACAAATACCTGCAGCCGCACCACCCACAGGAGGAATGCGGGATCCACACAAATACCTGCAGCTGCATCACCCACACAGAGGAATGGGGGGACCCGCACAGATACCTGAAGCTGCATCACCCACACAGAGGAATGCGGGCACGTACAAATCCCTGCAGCTGCACCCCCCAGAGAGGAATGCGGGACCCGCCCAGATACCTGAAGCTGCACCACCCACACAGAGGAATGCGGGACCTGCACAAATCCCTGTAGCTGCACTCCCCACAGAGGGAATGCGGGACCCGCACAGATACCTGCAGCTGCACCACCCACACAGAGGAATGGGGGACCCGCACAGATACCTGCAGCCGCACCACCCACACAGAGGAATGCGGGACCTGCACTAATCCCTGCAGCTGCACTCCCCACAGAGGAATGCGGGACCCGCACAGATACCTGCAGCTGCACCACCCACACCAAGGAATGGGGGACCCGCACAGACACCTGCAGCCACACCACCCACACAGAGGAATGCGGGACCCGCACAGATACCTGCAGCCGCACCACCCACACAGAGGAATGCGGGACCTGCGCAGATACCTGCAGCCGCACCACCCACACAGAGGAATGCGGGACCCGCGCAGATACCTGCAGCCGCACCACCCACACAGAGGACTGCGGGACCCGCATAGATACCTGCAGCCGCACCACCCACACAGAGGAATGCGGGACCCGCGCAAATACCTGCAACTGTACCACCCACAGAGGAATGCAGGAGCCGCACAAATACCTGCAGCTGCACCACCCACACAGAGGAACGCGGGACCCACAGACGGGTGCCATTCTAATGGCACGCCGCCAGCACTGGGAACCTCTGTTCCCATGCGGGCTGCGATTTCCCAAGTAGTGCAGGGACTTCCCTGCGTGTCCCGGGGCATAGGTGGACAGCTATGTGTCATATGAGGTTTAATGATGAAAAATGTAAAAGAATGCAGTTTGGATCTAAAAATCCATCATACGGACCTGAGAGCGGGGGGGGGGGGGGGGGGGGGGGGGGTGTTTGGGGTTACTCACACTCCCGGTGGCTGCAGTCAGTATATCTGACAAGACAACTTCTGGCTGTCAGGTGGAAGCAATCCAGCAACTATGTAGCTGCCTGATTTCTTCATGCCCTTAGTAATGGGCAACTCACCTGCGCACACCCCCGCCATGTATCCCGGGCTGCGCTTGCCTGGGTCCAGCATGGAGGGTGCAGCCAGATAGAGGGGAGGGAGCTAAGCAGACACATGTCCCCTCCCCTCCACTTTTGCGGGGCTCAAGATCGACAAATAAAACATCAACTCCGAGTCCCCCTTTCACTTTTATCGGTCAGCTTGGCTGGAATCTAATCTAATGCAGTGCAATCTGATGTTTTGTTTAAGAGAACCTGTCACCAAAAAAAAAAATCATCACAGGGGATATTTTGTCGCCATGTGACAAAAAAAAAAACTAAAGTAAAAAAGCATTGCAAAAAATGTAAGTTGCATCCAAGCACCCCCCCAAAAAAAAGAAAAAGTCTGGACACTTTCACCCCCTTCCTGGCCAGGCCAATTTTCAGAGTGCTGTCACACTTTTGACAATTGCGTCATGCAACACTGTATTTAATTTTTTAGCATTTTTTTGAGACAGATTAAACTTTTTTGGTGGTATTTTTCACCATTTTTTTTGTTATATAAATGAAAAAGTCCAAACATTTTGAAAAAAATAGTTTTTCTTATAAAATTTTGCAAATAAATAATCTTCATAAATCTTTGCTAAAATTTATTCAATTATCTTTTTAGTGTAAAAAAAAAAAAAAAATAGCCCAAATTAGTTTGACCAAAAATTAAAATAAACATTTTTTTACAGTTTATTTTATTTTTATTTTTTTTTACATACTGTCACCCTAGCAGTACAGTGTCACCATAGGGACACTGTACTACTTGTGGGGGGTGATGAGATTTTTTTTTTTTTTTTTTACACAGATTGCTTTTACACCCATAAAGGCTGTAAAAGCAATAATTTCTCCTTCTCTCTGGCTGCATTCTTGCAGCCATTGAGAAATACTGTGTGAGCTGTGATTGGTCACAGCTTGTCACATGGTACAAGGCTGTTGTGAATAGCCTTGTTCCATGTGACCTCTGTGATCATTCACAGATTTCACATGTAGTAAGCAATGATGTCAGAAGTGACATCTTGCTTTCTACTCTTCATGTGATCACTGATTGGCCATTCAGTGATCACATGATCCAGACCTCGCACAGAGGTCCCGTACAGCGATGGGTGTTCCACTGTGTCCGGAGGACACAGCGGGAACTGGATTGCAGTGCTGCGCGCTACAGCAGAGAGTGGGGACACCATTTTTAAATGGCCTCTCACTCCTTCACTGCTCCCGTCCAGTCCATGTATATATTGTGGATATAAATATGCGGTTAAACTGCATAAGGGGTTCTTTACTGTTAGAGCGGTAAGGAGGTGGAGCTCCCTTCCACAGTTGGTGGTTTCAGTGGGGGTGTAGATAAACTACACAACATACAGGGGTAAGGGATAAGAAGATTGGTTGTGACAAGCACACACACATATTGAAATGGATGGGCCTGTGTCTTTATTCAGCTTTACCAACCATGTAATCGCGACCAAAACTTAAAATCTCAGATTTGGGCGGAGTGTTCCTTTACATGGCCTCATTCAAAAGAATTTGTCCTGAGAAACCAGATCTGAGCAGGTGTGTCTGTCCCTTTTCATTAGCCAGCTCCTAGTCAATGCGAAGTCTTGGCAGGTTGTGCAGAGTCATAGCTCCGGCTGGTCTGTTATCACCTAGGAGAGATCACCGGCTGACACAGCGAGAGCCATGACAGCCGCCATCAGTACAGGAGACGGCCCATGACCTCACCTGGGGCCTTTAACCCTTCACTTGCCTAGTGCCTGCTTGAGTTTGCAAACATCTGCACAGCTCATCAGTGAGATGCTTACTTCGCTTTAAAAAGCAAGTGTAAGCAACATGTCAGATCTGTGGATCAGCCGGTGATGCAATCCGGGAAAGCAGTCTGCTATTTATAGGTGCCTTAAAAACAGAACAAGCTTTTTTAACGCCCGGCACAAACTTAAACTTCTGTATACTGTCCAGTCTTCTCATCCATACACTTGTGTACCCTTCAAAGTTGAAATGTAACTCCGGAAAATAACTTGTTACTCCTAATACAAAGTTGTTCCATTTTTTTTTTTGTGATCTCTGTCCCATTGGGCAGAATCCCATTTGTGTGAAGGGGAAGAAAACTGACGGAAAATCTCCCCTTACCCTAGGTTCACACCTAAGAGTTTTGCAGAAACACACTACAGCCCATTTAACATGATTTCCTATGGGACAGGTTCACATCTCCGCGTTTTCACCCGGTTCCTTTTTTTGGAAAGGGTCAGGGACTTTTTTGAACGTAAAAAGTTTGGGTTCTATAGACTTCAATGAAAATGCTGCAGAAAATCATGTATTGCATGTTTGCTGCGTTTTAAATCTGCAACAAGAAAAATAAAGAAAAATGACCCACAAAATGCGTTCCAAAACGCAATGCAAAAACAGCTCAAATGCAACCTGCATAGGTGTGTACCTATAACAGCAAATCTACACCTGTATAATTGCTTGGTAACACAAATTACTAAGCCAATTACAGCAACTCCATGCAGTTAGGCACCTAGACGTGGTGATAAGTTCAAACCGAGCATCAAAATGGGGAAGAAAAAGGGGATTTAAGTGACTTTGACTTTGAATGTGGCATGGTTGTTGGTGCTAGGCTGGCTGGTCTGAGTTTCAAAAACTGCTGATCTAGGATTTTCATGCACAACCAACTCTAGGGTTTACAGAGAATGGTCCGAAAAAGAGAAACTATCCAGTGAGCTGTAGACGAAAATGCCTTGATATCAGAGGAGAATGGGCAGACTGGATCAAAGTGATAGAAAGGCAACAGTAACTCCATTAACCAGTCATTATAATCAAGGTATGCAGAATATTATCTCTGAAAAAAAAAAAAAACATTTGGCCAGATTGAATTCTGCTACATGGATTTGGGGAAAAAAATAATCCCAAAAAGTGTATATTAATTGATTTGTGTGAACGTGCTAGTGTCTGCAAACCATGGCGTGTATGTATGTGTGTGTATATGTACTTGAATTTTTATTTACATTTTTTCATACACGTAATGGCAGTGATTAGCTACTTATAGAGGGCCTATGATAGTGCGGTGGGCAATCTGATGCTAACTGACACTGCCATCACCAGTGACACTAATACAAAGATCAGTGCTAATTATACACTGTCACTGCACTAATGACACTGGCTGGGATAGGGTTAACGTCTAGAAGCAATCAAAGCGTTAACTGTGTGCCTTTCAATGTGTATTGTGGGTAACGTGTGCTGCTTTTTCTAAGCGATGTAACAGTTTTAACTCCCTGCTTTGCAGAGAGAGAGAAAAAAACAGCCACAGCTCTGCACTCTGTAGAGAGCCCTGTGTTGTTTACCAACACAGGTCTCTCTTCTGTCATTTGCTCAGCCGATCAGTAGGTCCCGGCCAGAAACCATTGGCTGGTACCCACTGATCATCTTGTGCTGTAGAGAATTACAGCACAGCCAGGGTGGCAGGCATGCACGCCCCCTACCCTGAAATGCCAGGTCCTGTACATGTACATGATCCCGTGCAGCGGGGCCGCAATCTGCCTGAGTATATATACAGGGCTTAGGCAACGGAGTTGACTAAGCCCCGTTGGCAGGGCAAAATGCATCAGTGGGTGTGACCTGGGCGGAGCCTAGGCTTCAGCTACTTTTTATTTGCTTAGCATATGGACTGTTTAGGAGTGCGGCATCTGAGTTGCTTTTATTTTGGGTATGTTTTATACACAGATCTTAATGTTGGTGGTGACCAGGAAGGGGATATCTAGACTAGATGCTGGACAGCAGTCAAGGCACAGTAGTAGACTGAACCATGCTTTGCTAAACACAAAAAAGGACAAATCTGGTTTAGGTAGAGTGTCTACTGTCTGATGTCTCCTTTTAGATTGATTGACAACTATGTAGTGCAAGGTCCACAATACAGATTTATTAGTTTAGGAAGGCATTCGCATTGTATAGATTTGATGGCATATAAAGAAGACTGTTAAAGTTGAGTTCCAGTCTCCTCTGCACTTTTCTACATAAAGCACCTGCATTCTCTTCAGTTTCAATATATAATTAGGACAGTGTTCTAAGTGTATGTCGTTTGCTTACTTGTGAATGTGACATTTCTCAGCAGGATCCCGGCAGGCAGGCAGGCAACGGCCATTACTAGTGTGGGCATCTGAAGCAAGCTCCTACTTTCTTCTGGATTGGTGCAGCTGGCTACCCAGCATGCACCTCCTGATCTCGTGCTTGCGTTGTAAGGACACGGCCCGGCACACTGTGTTGTTTGTAGGTTGCCATAACAATGGCGGCGGCGGAAGATCCCGCCCTGTTGTTATGGCAACCTGTCAATCCTTTTTCCTGATAACATCACTTCCGGTGAAGAAATACCACGAGACGTCACCATAAGGCTTCCCAAAGACACCTGGGAAAACCAAAACCGATATCCTAAGAATCCTAGGGAATCGCCTAATGACAAAGTCGTGTAGGTGGCCGGACCGGAAGTGCAGGATACTGACAGCAAAAATAGGTATTTAGAAATGAATAAATAAAAAAAAAAATATCCCATAACAGACTGTTCTGCAGGTGAGCATTGTGTGGCAAGGATCAGGAAAAAAAGGGTGGAACTCCGCTTTAAGTCAGATTTTAGCAGGTAAAGCTAGATTGAAATCTTTCCTGTTTTGTTGTCTTCTACAGATCAAAGGCAGAGATGCGTCACACATGCCGCGGCACAATCAACCTCGCCACGGCCAACATTTCTGTAGAGGACTCCTGTAACTTTGTGATCTCCAATGGAGGAGCCCAGACCTACCATCTAAAAGCCAGCTCAGAAGTGGAGCGTCAGAGGTGGATCACGGCTTTAGAACTGGCTAAGGCCCGGGCGGTGAAGATGCAGGCAGAGTCAGGTGAGGTGAAACACCAGTGTAGGTATCCTGTACAGATCCCAGCAGTCGGAAGGTTCGAAAGATTAATAGAACAAAGGTCACTCCTCACCTTTTCCTTCTGATGACGCTAAATTCCAGGCTGTCATGCTGATCCCTCACGTTCAGTTCTCAGCCCTTTGATTGCCAAGACTTGTAGGAAGTAGTTAATTTGGACCAAGGTTAGATATTTCAAGATCACTAAAGCCTGGACTCTAATTACAGTTTTTGTTGTTAGTTGTGTTCAGGTTGTGGAAAGGTTAGAACTTCAGTCGTGCTTCTTGACAAAAATAAACAAAAAAAAACATACATCAGAAGCATGTACCCATAGTAGGACTTCAGATGGTGGTGGGACAACTGAAATTCAGTCCATCTTGCTGTGTGTGTTTTGAAGTAACAAGTGACATATCCCCAGTGGTAATATATGTACCCTGGATAAAAACACTAAGACTCAAATAGGAAAGGGAAAAACAATCCAGTTGAATTTTATGTAAGGTTTATGCTATTATCTTGATCGTGCGGTTACGTAAGCATGAGGTAATATCTACACTCACCGGCCACTTTATTAGGCACACCTGTTCCATTGCTTAGAAACACAAATTGCTAATCAGCCAATCACATAGCAGCAACTCAAGGCATTTAAGCATCTATACATGGTGAAGATGACTTGCTGAAGTAAAACCAAACATAAGAAAGGGGATTTAAGTGACTTTGAACGTGGCATGGTTGTTGGTGACAGACGGGCTGGCCTGAGTATTTCAACAACTGCTAATCTACTGGGATTTTTACGCACAACCATCTCTAGGGTTCACAGAGAATGTCACGAAAAAGAGAAAATATCCAGTGAGCAGCAGTTGTGTGGACAAAAATGCCTTGTTGATGTCAGAGGAGAATGGAAAGGTTTGAGATGATAGAAAGGCAACAGTAATTAAAAAAAACACTTGTTACAACCAAGGTATGCAGATTACCATCTCTGAACGCACAACACATCGAACCTTGAAGCAGATGGGCTACAGCAGCAGAAGACCACACTGGGTGCCACTCCTGTCAGCTAAGAACAGGAAATGAAGGCTACAGTTTGCACAGGCTCACCAAAATTGGACAATAGAAGATTGGGAAAATGTTGCCTGGTCTGATGGGTCTCAATTTCATTTGTGACATTCAGATGGTATGGTTAGAATTTGGTGTAAACAACATGAAAGCATGGATCCATCCTGCCTTGTATCAACAGTACAGGCTGGTGGGTGGTATAGTGGTGTGGGGGATATTTTCTTGGCACACTTTGAAACCCTTAGTATCAATTGTGCATCGTTGAAATGCCACAGCCTACCTGAGTATTGTTGCTGACCATGTCCATCCCTTTTATGACTCCAGTGTCCCCATCTTCTGATGATTCCTTCCAGCAGGATAATGCACCATGTCACAAAGCTCATAGTCGCATAGTCTGGCTGAAAAAAGACAAAAGTCCTTCCATTCAACCGAAAAAAAAAAGTTATAATCCTACACCCCCAGTTGATCCAGAGGAAGGCAAAAAACCCAGCAAAGCATGATCCAATTTGCTCCTGCAGGGGAAAAAATTCCTTTCTGATCCCCCCCGAGAGGCAATCTGATATTCCCTGGGTCAACTTTACCTATAAATGTTAGTATCCAGTTATATTCTGTGTATCCAAGAAAGAATCCAGGACTATTCTAAAGCAATCCACTGAGCTGGCCAGAACCAACTCTTGAGGGAGTCTATTCCACATTTTCACAGCTCTCACTGAAGAAACCTTTCCGTATTTGGAGATTAAATTTCTTTTCCTCCAGGCGTAAGGAGTGCCCCCTTGTCCTCTGGGATGACCTCAGGGTGAATAACTCTACACCGAGTTCACTATATGAACCACTGATGTATTTATACATGGAGATCATATCCCCCCTTATGTATTATACATGGTGATCATATCCCCCTTATGTATTATACATGGAGATCATATCCCCCTTATGTATTATACATGGTGATCATATCCCCCCTTATGTATTATACATGGAGATTATATCCCCCCTTATGTATTATACATGGTGATCATATCCCCCCTTATGTATTATACATGGTGATCATATCCCCCCTTATGTATTATACATGGTGATCATATCCCCCCTTATGTATTATACATGGAGATCATATCCCTCTTATGTATTATACATGGAGATCATATCCCCCCTTATGTATTATACATGGAGATCATATCCCCCCTTATGTATTATACATGGAGATCATATCCCCCCTTATATATTATACATGGAGATCATATCCCCCTTATGTATTATACATGGAGATCATATCCTCCCCTTATGTATTATACATGGAGATCATATCCCCCCTTATGTATTATACATGGAGATCATATCCTCCCCTTATGTATTATACATGGAGATCATATCCCCCTTATGTATTATACATGGAGATCATATCCCCCCTTATGCATTATACATGGAGATCATATCCCCCCTTATGTATTATACATGGAGATCATATCCCCCCTTATGTATTATACATGGAGATCATATCCCCCTTATGTATTATACATGGTGATCATATCCCCCTTATGTATTATACATGGAGATCATATCCCCCCTTATGTATTATACATGGAGATCATATCCCCCCCTTATGTATTATATCAGAATATCGGATTGCCATACGGGATGTATAAGCGAACATTCTTTATTATTATTATTATACAGGACTTATATAGTGCCAACAGTTTGCTCAGCGCTTTACATTATGGAGGGAGACAGTACAGTAACAATACAGTTCAATACAAGAGGAAATAGAGGGCCCTGCTCCTTAGAGCTTACAATCTAGGAGGGAGGGGATAGTGGTACAAAAGGTAATTAGCTGTGGGGGATGGAGTGGTAGGAGGAGTAGTGGATTCCAGTATCCTTGAACCATTTTCACAGTGTATCAGGGCACACTATCCTTTCAGAAGCCATTGTAACCAGATCATCAATGTTATTCACTTAACCTGTCAGTGGTCGTAAAGTTATGGCTTATCGGTGTGTATTATAACATTTTAAAAAATCCCTAAAAAGTAATGTAGTGCTGCTACAGCTATTCAGAAGTGGTAATTAAGATCATTACCTAAAAGTGACTGGTTCTCTTTTGTACAATTTAAATTGCACTGAGAAGGTTCTGTGTTTTGGGTTTTTTTCTGGTTCTCGCTTTGTTTGATTTTGTTTTTTTACCTTGTAACTTAACGCCTGCCCTCGATCCTGACAGATGATTCTGGCGATGAGGACCCCAGTTCTCAGGCGGACAAGGCAGAGATTCACAGTACACTTCGGGCTCTATCAGGGAAGGTGGAAGACCTGGGCACGTGCAATGATCTCATTGCAAAGCACGGCACTGCTTTGCAGCGCTCTCTGAGTGAACTGGAGAGTCTTCGCCTTCCTCAAGACAGTTCAGACAAGATCAAACAGGTCAACGAGAGAGCGACTCTCTTCCGGATCACCTCTAATGCTATGATAAATGTGAGTTTTTTCGAAATATTGGGCTTTGGACAGATTGTGAGGCGTCGTGAATAAAGGCTGTGGATCATAGGTTTTTGATGTTTCCACGATAGGTCACTGATGGCATTTTTGTATAGAACCTGTAAACTCTACCCAATTCCCAGTCAAGTTTACACTTCAGAAGATGACATCAGTGGCAAAGCTGCCTTCAAAGTGCCCATAGTTGCCTAATTTACCAATCTGCCTTCTGTATTTTTATTTTCTTGCATAGGCCTGCAGAGACTTCATGACCCTTGCGGAGAGCCACAGTAAGCGCTGGCAGAGAGCTCTGCAATATGAGCGAGATCAGCGGCTGCGCCTGGAGGAGACGCTAGAGCAGTTGGCAAAGCAACACAACCACCTGGAACGGGTATTCCGCGGGGCCACTGTACTGCCAGCTGAGAGTCGCCCTGGGGTCCCTAAAGGTAACGTCAAGGCACCTATAGAGAGCTTATAACATGAAAAGGTATAAGGGTTGCGCTGCTCTATATATACACAACACTAAAGTGAAAAAAAAATAAAAAACCACTACCTAACTATACATTTTTCTTAATCCATCAAACCCTCTGCTTGATATATCATATAATATAAAATCAATAAAACAAACTAACTCCCTAGAGTGAAAACTATCAACTTGCTTATTAACCAGAACAGTGTATCTAATTCTGATTCTGCCATGAATATCATGCAGCCTGTGCTGTTATACAAAACTTAGTGTATAAATCCTGTGCATTAGCTTGATATATTATCAGTATAATGAATACCACCACATACCAGTGTCATAAAAATCGCTATTCATGATACTACCTCTGTTATATATATAATGAAAATGAACTAAAAGTCCACAATATAAATAATAAACACAGTGCCGTTAGATCTGCTTGTTATGCAACAAATGCTAGTCCATTTACAACTCCAACTGGTGTTTAGGTTACTAACCCAACGTGGTGCCTTGCCTGTAGAGATAGGAAGGCCAGAGGGGAAAAAAAACAAAAACATTTTCCATTTTTTTTTCCAAAGACATTTTTTGGTGGGGGAAAATAGGTGTGGAATATGTTTTTTACAATGATAAATATTATATCTATGACATAGTATTCGAATTATATAATATGAAGACCTACAGTGCATCCAGAAAATATTCACAGCGCTTCACGTTTGCCACATTTTGTTATGTTACAGCCTTATTCCACAATGGATTAAATTCATTTTTTTTCCCTCAACATTCTACAAACAATACCCCATAATGACAACGTGAAAGAAGTTCGTTTTGGTTATTAAAAATAAAAACAAAAAAAAAAACCACATGTACATAAGTATTCCCAGCCTTTGCTCAATACTTTATTGAAGCCCCTTTAGCACCAATTACAGCCTCAAGTCATGATTATGATGCTACAAGCTTGGCACACCTATTTTTGGGCAATTTCTCCCATTCTTCTTTGCAGTACTTCTCAAGCTCCATCAGGTTGGATGGGGAGAGTCGGTGCACAGCCATTTTCAGATCTCTCCAGAGATGTTCAATCAGATTTAAGTCTGGGCTCTGGCTGGGCCACTCCAGAACATTCATAGAGTTGGTCTATAGCCACTCCTTTGTTATGTGGGCTGTGTGCCTAGGGTCGTTGTCCTATTGAAAGATGAACAGTCTAAGGTCCAGAGTGCTCTGGAACAGGTTTTCATCAAGGATGCACTGTAAATGAATGATTTCTGAGACTTTATGTAAAGTCTTAATTTATTGCAAGTTCTCTCAGCTGAGGACAAGGAAATCTCAGAATATAGTTTGTGATCAATATGGTTCAATAAAACAGTGCTCCACCACCATACAACGCTCAATTCACAGGATGATCCATATAGTATATAAAAGTCTTATGCACTTTATCCCATCAGTATGATCTCTCCTCCACAAGAATGTAATTCCTGTTCCCAGGGAGGAATATATGCAGGTCCCTTTAACAGGCCAGGGTCTTTTAACAGTGACTAGAAGCTATGCTCATAGAAGAGGAAAAAAATCTTGCCAAGAGTGTAATATTTTTTAATTATAATGGCCAAATGTATAAAAAGAACCACAGTAGCATAAAAGAAGAGAGTCAGATTCTAACAAGGCATTTGTAGTTGCAGTTTAGCGCTAACTTCTGGTTTCAGTTCAGAACTGGAAGTGACGTGACCTAGCTCCGTCCAACGCGTTGCATAAAGCAGCATGTAGATTGTCTTTGGTGGTGAGGGGTATTTTGAGAACATGCAGTGAGTCCAGCTAGCATGTATGTAACTGGACTAGTGACTGACAACAAGGCAAGAATCCTGCTCAGAGGTTAGTGTGCCTGAGGAACTGGGCGGATGATTGATGTCATGGAATGGGCACATTTTCAGCTGGGTGGATATGTGATGTTTCCATTGTGTTTTATTAGACCCCTGCGGGACAGGGAAAGGAGACCTCAGCGATGAAGATGACGAAAATGAGTTCTTTGATGCTCCGGAAATCATCAGCAGTCCTTCCCAGGATGGTCTTGGGCATAAGTAAGTAAGAAAAAGTTCAGGGGCTCCAGCAAGTCTAAAGCTTAACTCCAGTTACCAAACATTCCCTGGCTGTGTCCTCTCTGTACAGCGCAGACATTCCCCATTATTAAATACACATTTGTATCTTGAATCATATAGTACAGGACTAGTATTTATTGGATCATGAAATATATGCAACTACCTTCAAGTGATTGGGCAATGGCAGAAAAACTTTCTGGGGCCACCTTGAGAGTCCAACATATAACCCACCACTTCCATGGGACTCTAGTTTTTTGCTTGTGTCCTTAAGTGATGAACCTGTTCTCCTCTGGAGAACTATTTTTTTCTTTTTTTCAATTATTTTTTTCTCTGAAGCTGCTATTAAGATATGACTGCTTTTGCCTTGGGCTGTCTAGCAACCCTGGTCACTGTACCCTCTATGTGCGGCTGGCCTGTAATACTTGCTTCAGACACGTTATCCTGCCTTGCCCTAGGTTCACACCTAAGCGTTTTCTGCAGTGTTTTGCAGAAACGCACTACAGGCCATTTAACATGATTCCTATGGGACATGTTCACATCTCCGCGTTTTCACCCGGTGCGTTTTTTGGAAAGGGTCAGGGACTTTTTTGAACGCAAAAGTTGCATTTTTGGTTCTATAGACTTCAATGGGAACGCTGCAGAAAAGCATGTATTGCGTTTGTGATGCATTTTGCGTTTAAAGTCTGCCTAGCAACAAGTGAAATTAAAAAAAAAAATGGAAAAAAACCCCCCCCCCCCCCCCCCACCTCAAAACGCAGCCTGCATGTGTGAAAAACTTACAATACAGAAACACCTCAAAGCAGCTGCTGCATGGGTGGCTGAACCATTAAGACCATTAAGACCCTTTCGGGGTGTATGACCACTGTAATCTCCAATAGGTCTAGCTTCATGGATAAGGTCTCCCTGTGTTTATCCCACAGTTCCTGGGTTTAACCAACATGATCCACAGTGTGTAGCACAATATGCAGTTCTTTACCCAGAGGATTTGGGTGTTTCTATACTTTATTGTGGTAATCCTGCCAATTTTTGTCATTTTGGTGTACTTTCAGAAAGGAGGGTTAAAGGTGAAACCACAGAGAAAATGTTTTTTTGGGTAGGATAGGGAAGAGAACCTTTCTTAGATTTTATGCCCATTAGGAAAATGTCCTTTCTACATTGTGTCTTTGTGACTGTGTACAGTGAAAAATATACTTTTTTTTACTTCATCAGGAAGCTGAATAATAAAATGATATAATAAAGGCAGAATTACATTTTAGTAAGTGGAGAATAGTAAGCGGAGTACAGGATCTTTGTGTTTTGGGAATTAGAAAAGAGCTCTCTAGAGCAGTGTTTCTCAATCTTTTTTCAGTCAAGGCACCCTTTAAAAATGTGGACAGTCCCGAGGCACCCTGTAAAATTAAGGACGGTCTTCTAAAATGGGGCGCCTCAAGACTGTCCATAATTTTAAAAGGGCACCCCATTCTAAAATGTGAAAAACAATTTTAATAGTTTTATATAATGCAGCAACATCCACACACGTAGGACACCCAATATTAGAGGTGATTTATTCTTCCAAAGCAAATACACTTTTACACACTGGTGCTGACTAGTATTCCAATGTTTCTCCTCTCCCTCAGTTTTTCTCCATCACTGAGCTGATGTGACCCCATTACTGATGGAGAGAGGCAGGCAACTGACATCCTCCATATCAACTGATGATGTCCTTGGTTGTCAGGATGCCGGCAGCTTGAAGGTCATAATGGTGCACAATGGAAACCTGTGCCTTTGTGTAACTAAAAGGCAGGCTTGTTCCACCCGCTGGGTTGTATACAAGTATGGGGCAATTTTTAGACATATTGCCAAGGCACCCCTGAAGAAACCTCAAGGCCCCCCCCAGGGTGCCTGGGTCCCCTGGTTGAGAGAGGCTGCTCTAGAGTAATCTGCTTCATACTGCCAGGGAGTCTCGCTCCAGCTGCTTTATCCCCTGTAACAGACAGAAGTTAAAAGATGACAATATAGAAGAAAAAAGCCAATCATAAATAAAAGATTTTGTCCTCACAGGCGATCTGGTAGTTCAACATAAGTGCAGCGAGCTGCGACATCCAATGGAGGAGCAGGTAAATGTGGCAACTGTTAATCAAAGTATTCGTCTGTCTCTCTTTGATATTTTCTCCTATTTTTTGCTTTTGCTGTGCAGCTCTGATCGAGTTGTGTTGTGTTTCAGGCATCACAAGGGAAATTGCCTAGACAGGCAGAGCTTGTGTCAGCAAGCAAAGCAGTTTGTAAAATGTGGTCTCAGAGTTCAAGGCAACATAGCATGATGTAAATATGGGGGGGGCTGCCATTACCACCTAATTTTTGAAAAAGTGCAAGGATTTTGCTGTCATACCTATCCTCCTCCCTGCCACTAAATCCGTATGTGACCCGAAAAAAGCATGCAGCCAGTAAAATTGGAGCTTCTAAAATGCATACTTGTTCACTGATCTATGATATTGCACCTGCAAAAACTGATCAGAAGTGGCAGATCCAGTATTTCCCACCTGACAGGTTCTTTTTGAAGGCCATAATCCAGGCAGATACAAAGACAAAGCAATCTAGTTGATTATTTTTAATGCAACTAGTGTAAGTATCTAATCCTGATTTGGTATGAGTTGCTTTTAATCTCCTTTACAGCATCATTGAAATTGAAAGCGGGAGAGGCAGCAATGGGAGCCAATCAGGTGGGCTGCATGCCAATTTGCAGGTGTTAAAAGTGAGCAGAGAGATGACTTAATCAGTGTGCTGATGCTCCTTCACTGTCCAATCACAGGCAGATGACAGGAAGGTGTAATCACTGTTTCATAACAGTATCAGAGAATGTGATGTTGCATTCTTGGCTGTGCTAAGGCCTGAATTGAACTTAAACGAAAATCAGTCGGCTGTTAAAACAGCTCACATATATGCATTTCACCTGTGTTTTCTCTGGAGCTAAACTGTTACTAGATTGCTCATGGCTGATCTACAGTATAATTGAATAGAAAACACTGCATAGATTTAACTGAATCAAAGGGATCCCCTTCTCACTTGTGGACTGCAACAGAATCAAAGGGATCCCCTTCTCACATGTGGACTGCAGCAGTAAAATTGTACACAGGGTGTTGGGTTACTATCAGCAAGGGATCTTAGTCTTTATATTCATTTAATAATAGTTGTTGTTTAATCTTAGGCTCGCCCACCTTCAGAAGACACAAGGAAGGAGAGACGCACAAGAATTCCACATAAACCCAACTACAGCCTTAACCTATGGAGTGTAATGAAGAACTGCATTGGAAAGGAGCTCAGCAAGATACCAATGCCTGTAAGTGGTGCTCAGAGTGGGATGAACATACATATATGTGGGGAAGGGAAGGGCTTGGTATGCAAATTCTAATTTCTTCTAAAGTTGAATTTCGTTGATGCGCCACAGACATCGGCAGTCTTTCCGATTTTTGAGACCAGAGTGTTGGGCCATTAGTCAGGCATTGGAGGGAGCAAAAAATCAAAGGAAAGAAAGAAAGGGGCACCTGCGTAGGTCATTATCCCCGTGGGTTTATTGGTTTTATGAAGAGCTAAAAACATACTCACAAACTGTGGTGGTTTATGTAATAATTTATTCTAAATACGTAGGGCGGTGTCCTCGCCCTTAAACAAAATATTGCAGTGCCTCCAGCCGTTAAAATACGGCAAATATTTAACGAACCAATAATTTGGACACCTTAATAATTTGATCACCACTTAATAATTTACCTTGAGTCCTTTTACCAGTATGATTTCGTACCATATACACATAATTTGCCTTTTTGATAGATACATTTATGTACAAAATGTATATATATATTAATACAAACGCAAAATACTGGTGATGAATATATATACTCGTACACACAATCAAAAATATATTATGCTAATTTCTATGTTATCAAACAATATGCGATTATCAATTTAAAGGAAATCTAAAATTTTCTTAGGGATAAGTTGTAACCTTTTAGTGCTTCAGATATTATTTCTCATTTTCCATGGCCATAGGAAATTAAGAAAGTATCTCTGATAAATTGCACCACAACAACACTACAAATTAGTTAATATGCAATATATAATCTAATACCAATTTCAAACAGTATAGTGATAATTTTATATATATATAACCTTAATATATTTCTAACCACAAAATACAATGTTCTAAATCTTTAGAAAGTTTGAAATGTCAAAGAAAATTTCAATATTCTAGCAGTCTCACCACTCCCAGAATTTCACTGAGCATCAGCGTCTCTGGTGGAAATCTTTACCTTCAAAATGGCAGCTGGAAGTTCTCAGCAAAATGGCCGCAGGTAGCAAGTGAGGTATAGTGCAGTATATAGTAGCAACAGGGTAGATAAGAGAGTTTAGAGGTTATAGCAGTCTTAGAAGCTGTTGCAGAAGTTTTAGCAGATCAGAAGATTGGAAGAAATTCAGATGGATGGATCGGTGGATTCTTGATTGAATGATGGATTCATTTCACTTTGAGGTGTCTGGTCTTTTAAACCATACAAGACCTTTGTTTCGAGGGACCGCCCAACAGACTTGTTGATTGGACGGTTGAACATTTTGCATACCTAGAGATGTTCCTGATTTATCTACTGGAGACAGTCAAGTATTACAGATGAATTGGTGGTCTTAATGATGATTCATTCTTTGATAGAAACCATATGTCTTGATGTATCAAATATATGTCCTATTCAAGTATAGTTAATTTCACTACTAATTCTTGGATAAGGACCATAGAAAGGTGTGAATACATTTGGTTTCTCATTTTTCTGATACCTGAACTGTATTGGAATGGCTGATTTCTTTTGGAAATATAGACATTACCTTATTCACAAACCACCTTACCTTTCATCACTTCAACTTTAGTTGAGTGGGATGCAATACCCAACCTTATCGAATAGATTTGTGTGTGGAAATATACCCTTGATAATATTTCCATTGATATAAACCAAATTTTTCTTTGTATCTTAAATGACCCAGGTTTTACCTTGTGCTGCATATACAGTTCAAGGAGATGTGACATAGGACCTCATCCATTGTTGGGTAATTAGGGTAAATAGACTGGACTGGAGTTAAAATCAGTATTCAATAGCTATTGTGACATCTCAAGAAGTTTGTTTGGTTATCACACAGGTCCCAAGGTTTTGGGAGAGATAAGACAATGAGGATTTCCTCTCACCATTGTCACTTTCAGACCTCCCATATGCTCACCTGCAGACATTCAAATAGTGGTGTTTGACTCTCATTGTCTCTTAGACCAGTTTCTTCCACTCATTGTGTGTGTGGTAACTTTTTGGAATCTCACTTGAAATTCTCTCTAGAATGTTAACCCCTAACAGTCATCTGGGATTTCCTAACTTGGGATAATATAATTTTTCTAATAAACAGTCCCAAAAGTCATTACAAAATGCAAATGATGTATGGCACGTGAAACCAACATTTGTGGCACAATTGATGTAAAGACCCAAATGGACCCAACGCCAGCAGAAGCACTGTCAAGACAGTTTATGCGTTTCGAGGGTACCCTCTCTTCATCAGAGCTCTGCGTTGGGTCCATTTGGATCTTTACATCAGTTGTGCCACAAATGTTGGTTTCATGTGCCATACATCACTTGAGTTTGTTTTTACCTCATAATACCAGTAAACCCATGGGGATAATGCACTAGGCTGTTGCGCTTTTCTTTCTTTCCTTTGATTTTTTTTTTTTTTGCAGTACTGCTAGACTTTCCCAATCGTAGAAGGGCAGCAAGGCCTCAATATCTCTGGACAGGGATTCATAGGGGTTCCTGTCAATTCACTCTGGTTCATCACACCCACACGCAGGAGGAATTGTTTTATATTGTTATTGGAGGAAACAACCTTATCAGAAGAGATTAGATTTTGTAATGACCCCATTTTCAAGGTTCATGCTCATGTTGGGTGCACAGTTTTATTCCCATGAACAGTTTAGCAGGCTTTATACAGGGACAGGTTTACTTTAAAGAGGAGCTTCAGCCAGGTGCATGCAGATTTCACTTGCAGCTACATCAGTTTTCATGCGCTTCATTGAGTTTTATACACGTTGCAGATTCCTACGAGAAAAAAAAATCACATGATACTAGAGGTGTGAACAGGGCACATAGAGAACAACTGATTTCATTGTGCTCTTGCAGAACTCATGCAGAAAAACTGATGCACCGTGGTGTGAACGAGTCCTAAAAGTCCACTATCAAAGTGTAGCTGACTTTTAATAAGCATATACTCACCTGCCCAGGGATCTGGCACCATCCTGTTCAGGTCCCTGGTGCTGGCATGTTAACTGTGGGAAGCTGGCTGTGATTCCTTTGTGACTGATCCTGCAGCTTACTGGGACCTGTGATTTGTCCCTGAAGGCTGCAGGCAAAAGGAGTGGGGGGGGGGGGGGGGGGGGGGGGGGGGGGGGGGGGGGGGGGGGGGGGGGGGGGGGGGGGGGGGGGGGGGGTTTGGGGGGTTTGCAGGTATCTGTCAAAACCAGGTACCTGCTTACACAAAAAAAAAAAATTTACCAAATATGATTGGGGGGGGGGGGGGGAGGACGGAGAGCTGAATGTTCCCTTTTGGGTGAAGTTCTGCTTTAGAACCTTGAGAGGTGTATGGGGCTGACATATTTGAGAGGTGTATGGGGCTGACATATTTGAGAGGTGTATGGGGCTGACATATTTGAGAGGTGTATGGGGCTGACATATTTGAGAGGTGTATGGGACTGACATATTTGAGAGGTGTATGGGGCTGACATATTTGAGAGGTGTATGGGGCTGACATATTTGAGAGGTGTATGGGACTGACATATTTGAGAGAGGTGTACATATTTGAGAGGTGTATGGGGCTGACATATTTGAGAAGTGTATGGGACTAACATATTGAGAGGTGCATGGGACTAAGGGCTCATGTACATGGGGCATTTGGAAAACTCTTCTAAACGATGGAAACTGACAGCTGGAAAACCTAGGTTAAAAAAAGTCAGTTTAGCCGCGTTTGCATACCACATTTATGCGTGTTTATGTGCGTTTGCATTTAGAACTGTTTTTAAAAGATAACCTCAGGAGAATTTCCCAAATGCCCAGAATGCACTGAAAAAATAGTAAAAAATTAACTATCTCAGACATTTTGAGAAGAATAGAGAGAGCAGAAGCAGAGAGAGCAGTATGTGTTGAGATAACCTGTCTTTTCTGGTTGTATTCACTGTGGATCCCATCATGAGCATAATGCAGCACGTTCTACCATTTTTTCCTTCACACGAAACCTGGAACTGACAGCGCTGGTGTACCGGGTCCATTTGAATACATGGAAACCGCTTTGCATGCATTTCTGATTATGAAAAAAGGCTCTGGACAGCATCTGGATATGGAGCAGTTAAAAAACGCTTCTAAACGCTTAGAAACATGGTTAACCGAGTTTACAAGCGTTTGGAAGGGCAGTAAAATCTACTCCTGAACGCAGGTTTGGTGCGTTCAAAAAAACGACTGTAAACTCAACTGTCTGTAACCAAATATGTGTACATGGACACATAGGAAAACATTAGGGAGAGTTCAGGGGCTGCTGACAAAATGCTAAACAGCTCCTGAACGTCAGTTTAGAAGATGCAGTGTACATGAGCCCTAACATATTTGAGAGGTGCATGGGACTAACATTGCTTTTTTTTTGTCTGGAGTATTCTACAGACCCTCTGGCATCCATACCCGAGTCACTGTCTTGGTTGTGTTGGAAGTATGCAGATTGGTAAAGACCAGAAATGTCAGAAGTTCTTATCTGCATATTTGATCAGTGTCACTTTATTAAAGTACTGACACCAGAAGGTCAGAATGACAGTCAGGCAAAACTACTGTTCTAACAAAGCGGTCGGCTGTGGAAGCCTCCATGTTTCTTTCAGAACTGTGTTCAAAGTATTGCAATTTGATAGTTGCAATTAATAGCCATTACTGTTCAGATTGTCTGCTTGTGGTACTGAATGCAAAGGTACAAATGCTGAAATACAATAAGGTGAAAGAGATAGGTCAAACACCATTACTTGCCACATCATGCTGAGGAAAACTATTGATTTGTAAATAAAGACCTATTATGGATTTGCTGCTAAACAGTTAAAGGGTATCTGAACCTAAGAACATATATGGAACATATTGCAACTTACCAGTCCTTAGATGTGTTGGCTAGGGTGACAGCAGTCACTGCCTGTACTGTATGTAGGGAGAAGCGGCGTTCTCACAACAAGGAATAGGAAGGGGAAAAAAAGCTCCCCTTCTCTTCAGCTGCATAACTTAGGGCTGGGGGGTGTTTTCTGTAGTCCACAGAAGTGAACTGAGCAGGACTGTTATGACAGCTAACTGTAGAATACACAGGACAGCACTAGATTTCTGGCAGAATCAACAGCTATTTTTGCACTTATTAAATAGATATAGTAAAAGGCTTTTAATTGTGTATTTAGTCCCATTGCCAACATGCTATACCATCCGGAATAATAATGGACATAAGCTCTTCAGAACTGAATATATAAATAGCAAAGTGCTGCCCACTACTAATACAGGTCATACGTGGTTCGAATTTCGAACGATTTTTCTTCCGAAAATCAAAAACGTTGTTTGCTCGGTAATCCGATGGTGCCATCAATGATCTTGAAAATCGGCTGACCAAGTCATAAAGTTCTCCCCATATAACGGGCAAAACTTCTGTTCCTTCCAGGTCACGACTCATGCACATATTCTTTTCGGAAAAACGATCGTACGATTTGACCATCGTTGAGTCGAAAATCGGTAGTTTTTCATGCATTTTCCAACATGCTGATCACCAAAAAGGGGAGGAACCACGAAAATCGGCCGGTGCCATTGACCCACTAACAGAGCGAAAATCGGCCGATTATTCTTAGGTCCAATTTTCGGGAAGAAAAATTGGTCGAAATTTGACCCGTGTATGGCCAGCCTTAACCTATGATAAAAAATCAACAAAAAAAACAAACTTCATGAAGTTCATGTATGACTAGTGTCCATAATCCTCTTGCTTAAATTTCTTTTACCAAAGATTTTATTGAGCATGTTAAAAGAAACATACAAAGCATGACAATTCGTATGATACAAAGCGACAACAAACAATAAAGGATAGGGAAACATCACACAACGAACACAGAGATACATATACAAGACCTATGCTGGGGTCCAGATAACACTATGGAAGGCAAAGGGCCACAAGGCCTGCAGCCACTTTCAGAAATATAAATCCTCTTGCTTAAATTTCAAAGTGTAAACAAGGTGCATTCCACTGTAATGATAAACTTCCAATACTGGTGCAGGAATCGAATACCGTTCTTCCCTCCTGCTCCAGTCACCGACAGCTGTGGGCTCTAACATGCAATGTTAGAAGTCCTAAGCTCTTGTACAGCAGATTATCCTTGGGTTGCTTGTAGTCCTCTTTGCTGCTCACTTCTCCACACTGTCAGGAAGCTGAAGATGTCTTGGGATTGCTGGGACTTCTAGTCCTCCTTACTGCTCAACTCTCCTCCGCACTATTAGGACTCGATATCTGGTGTGCTCACACATGTAAAAGAAATGGCAAGAAAGGCCCACATAGCGTAATTTCATTTATTAAAACTTTTGCACAAACTCGGTTACACTTGCTTAAAAACAGTAGAAAAAAAGCACAGAAACACTGCACAGGAAATGACGTCCGCTAAGGCACGTATTCTGATTTCTGCACCAGTATTGGAAGATTACCAGTTTGTCATTACAGTGGAATACACCTTGTTTACACTTTGAAATGCAAGCAAGAGGATTATGGATACTAGTTATACATGAAATTTATGAGTTTTATGTTTTGTCTTGGTTTTTTTTTTTTTTGTGGTTTATTATCATATGCTTAGTAGTGGGCAGCACTTGTTATTAACTTTTATTTCAGTTCCTGGTAGTAGTTTTTTTTTTCTTTTTTTTTTTTTTCTTCAAAAGAGTGCTTGGTGACTGGAGAGGTGAGGGAAGGCGAGTAGAAGTAGCTAGGGTTATGTACCATTTAACAAAAAAAGGGGGGATGTGAAAAAGGAATTCACAAGAAAAAGTGGTTACATTATGGACAGAAAGCGATACCCAAAAATGGATCAAAAAATGATCCTTTATTGCAAATTTTGCACATATTTAGGTAAATACCACAGTTAGCCATCAACAAAAGATGAGGCAATACCAAAAGAATAAACCTAAAAGAAAAAATTATAAAAAGGATGTCATGACCGGCCATATATTCTATAATTGTGCTGTAAAGACAACAACAGAAGGTCTTATGTGTATACGTACCATTTAAGTTAACCTGTTGCTTTAAGTGAAGTTGTAAGTTTGTCTAGGCCTGCTTCAAATAGTGGTACTCTTTAACACTCTTGCATCCCCTTCCTTCGGTAGGTAAACTTCAACGAGCCACTCTCAATGCTTCAGCGTCTGACCGAGGACCTGGAATACTACCACCTGCTGGACCGGGGGGCTCAATGTGAGAGTGCTCTTGAACAACTGTGTCTAGTGGCTGCTTTTACTGTATCCTCATACTCCACCACCGTCTTCCGTGTCAGCAAACCCTTCAACCCACTGCTTGGAGAGACCTTTGAGCTGGATCGAATGGAAGACTGTGGCTACCGCTCGCTGTGTGAGCAGGTCTGCAATGTAGACTTTTTTTTTTTTTTTTTTTAAGCCACGATGGTGATTCATTCTAAATGGCTATGTTTAGGTATTGTAGGTAAGCGCCATCCAGAATTTTCAGTTAGTTGCTGGCATGGTTCTTCAAAACTGTCATAATTCCAGCTGAGCTCCAGACAGATATGTGTGAATTTTAGAAGTACCCACATTTGGCATGTATCAGCCTCTTGCAATCCAGTATATTGCAAGAGGACTGGAAGCCAGTCATGCAAATATGTTGACAAGGGACATACTGAAAGGAGAAGGGATGGGAGAGATAACTTCATCAGTCTACTGCTGCTCTTTCACTGTTCATTTAGTAGGCTGGGGGTGTAGAGGACACATCTCTGTATTCCTCAAAGTACAACCAAATGTTCTTTTATGAGTCTAAACAAGTCCAAAATCCAAATAATTACTTTGTAGTGCACAAGCCTCGCAAAAAACTAAAACATTCTTTCTTTTTTGTTCATTCAGGGACAAAAAAAAAAAATCTAAAACCTTCAGGTTGTACTGCCACCTTCAGGACAGTGATTGGACACTGGCACACAAAAAAAATACTGTAGGCCAGGCCAAGGTATAACCCCTCCTGCCTAGTCATGGTCCTTTGTCATCAAGAAACTGTTCCAGAGCAATACACAATGTACCGCTGGCACTGGAGCATGTGCATATAGACAGGAAGTGGCTGAAAGAGGCTTGAGGAGATCAGCAGTGCCGAGAAGAGATTAAAAAAAAAGACATTTTTTATAAAAGGAAAACATGGCAACTAACTGACACAGGGGTAGATTTATTAAAAGATGTGCATGGTAGCCAATCTGACTCTAACTTCAGCTTCTTCAATTAAGCTTTGGCAATAAAACGTGGAAGTTGATTGGTTCCTATGCAGATATCCTTTCATTTTAGTGTAAACCCCATAGTGCTATAGCAAATTAAATGTCATGCAGGTAGAGTTTACATCTACTTTTAAGTGAAAAGATTGAGTGATGAGAATTAATCATTTGCGAACGTGTCAAGCACTGTCCCTGAACAATTGTGTCCTATACAGGTCAGCCATCACCCCCCTGCTGCAGCACACCATGCAGACTCTCGTCATGGATGGACCCTGCGGCAGGAGATCAAGATCACAAGCAAGTTCAGAGGGAAATACCTCTCCATCATGCCCCTCGGTGAGTGGCCCAGTCCAGATGTCTGAGAAAGCCCTCATTTATCCAGGTCAAACTAAAGCTAGTTAGTAGTTTATCACGTTCCAGTCTAGATGGGCATTCTTTGTAGGGAATTCCTATTGTTCTCCTCTTGATCATTTGCTTTTCCTCTTAGGTACCATACACTGTATATTTCACAACTCTGGGAACCATTACACATGGAAGAAAGTGACCACAACTGTTCACAATATCATTGTAGGAAAATTATGGATTGACCAGGTGAGACGTGCTCTTTATTTACAGAATCACCTCTCTTCTGTTCTTACCCTATCTGATATGCCATATGCACATAACGTCACTCTTGTATCAATAAATGGCCATTCTCCGGGGGGGCTATGGTTCTGTGGGCTCGCCTTGGCTAGCACCATTTCCATAAAAAGGGCATCTCCAGGTTCCATACTTCAGAAAGCATAGGGACTTAGTAAATCATTTTAATAACACAGTTTTGGGATAGATTACTGGCATGCCACTCCACCCCCAGTACCCTTCTGCTGGCTGCAAAATTCATGTGCGCCCCCACCCTCCAGTAGAAAGATATGAGGCAAGAGGCTGTAAACCAATTGTCAATCAAAAAAACTTTGTGACCAATAATTATCCCGTTCCACGTAAAACTATCATAAACAGTTGTACATATAATGTACATAGGGTATTTTTGAATGCTAAAAAACATTGATAATGTAATAAACATCCATTGGATCTCTTGAAAATCAAAATTTGATGGATAGACTTTTGTGCCTCTTTAAAGTGGAGCTCCAGTCCCCAGAAGAAATTTTTTTTCAAAGCAGACCCAGGATTGTCTTTAATTAGCAATTGGATAAAGTTATTAGTTATAGCCTTTTAATTACTTTTAAATATGTTAAAGTTTGCCTTGATCTCGGAAGCAGGCAGGCGCCATGCTGACTGTGGGCATCTGAAGCCCGCAAGTCTTTACTTCCTGGAGTTGGTGTTGCTGGCTATCCCAGCATACACCACTCGATCTTGCTTCCCCACACAGGACTTCAGTAAAATGGCGCCAAACTCCTCCCATTTGCGTCCTTTCCAGTTTTGGAGTACCACGATAGACAGTCACTAGGAACCCAAAGTACTCATGGGATACAGAACCCGACATCCCAGGAGACTTTGCGATTCGCCTTAACACGTCATCGCCTAGGCGGCCAGGACCGGAAGTGCAGTCCTGAAACTTGATTTTAAGGTATTTAGAATATGAAAAAAAATAAGTTGAAAAATAAGTTGATCCAAATCGTGCTGTACAACACAGGAACAGAGTAAACAGAGGCACTTTAAAAAATTGGGTGGAATTCCGCTTTAACTAGAGAAACCCATGTCAGCTTTACTTTGAAAACCACTTCCAAAAATTTACCTCACCTTTTTCTGCTCTTGGGGAAGAAAAAAAAGCTTTGAGATGCCTTGTAAGTAAAACTTGTACTGACTATCCTACCAGCTTTTATTGGCTGCTTTCTCTTTGGTTCATTGAAGGACACAGCCAAATAATTAGAGCGATGGCTCTGGTTGCGTCCTTCAATTTTCTCAATGAAAAGGATTTTATGGTACGTACAAAAATCTCATTATTTCAGTGATGTTTTATCATTTTATTTTTTTATGTTTTCACAGTCAGGGGAGATAGAGATTGTAAATCACAAGACGGGAGATAAGTGTAAGCTTAAGTTTGCTCCTTACAGCTACTTCTCCCGGGACATAGCCCGTAAGGTGAGTGCGTGACACTACTATATAACCTTTGTAACGGGTGCACTTGAGCTTCCTCTAACCTGCTGTCATCTTACAGGTGACTGGGGAGGTGATGGACGCAAGTGGGCGCTTGCACTACACTCTAATGGGGACGTGGGATGAGAGGATGGAGTGCTCACCTGTATCTTCTAGCAGTAATTTTGAGAATGGAGGGGACCGGGCCCCAGAGAGCAAGACACTGCTATGGAGGAGAAATCCATTACCGTATGTGCATGTTCAGTATAGTTTACTAGGTCTATACTCTCTAGATTATGCTGATCGTGAAATAAAATGGCACCAGTCCTTTTCCAGCAAACAGAAAAGCACTTAAAGTGGTGTTGTTGTGTTTTGATGGTATACAATAGCGGGTCCTAAACTTGTCACATGTGTCCAATGAGGAGGGGCGGGGCCAAGCCACGCTCTGTGTGCCTCATTCAAGTATGCATGAATGCCCCCAAAGCAAGCGGCTTGTTCTGAGCAAAACCACAGAGCAGGTAAGTATGACATGTTTGTTATTTTCTAAAAACAAACAATTTTCTTTACAATCACTTAAAAAAAAACAAATAAAAACACCTCCCTGTCTTCAAGAACTGGCAACTGAGAATCTTCTTTTTTTGGTCCCCTGATGTGCTTCTTTCCCCTGGGCCCCTACTTCACTACTATGTTATGTAGTGACTAAGGCACTGACAGATGGAACCACTTCAGGGACCGCTCAGAAATGTTGGATACTAAATATTTTTCTGAAGGTTGTAGTTTTTGACTCGCTGCCCACTGAAGAGGTAAGTCGAAGTATAAAGTCTTCTGGGGTTTTGCACCTTTTTTTTTTTGTTTTCAAATGAAAGTTACCTTTAATTTATAAAGTTTATAGAAATTTTTTTTTTTAGTGTTCTTCGGAGGTAGATGTACCTGTGAAGTCTCTCTTAGAATTCTGTTCATTGGCCATTAGTCTTCTGTTTTCATGGCCTATTCTGCATAGGCCTACTAAGGAAGAGAATGGTTTCAACTGGATCAGTCACCTTTGGCCTTGAGATCCAGCATACATTGCTGTTGAGCACTGGATCCTGTGGGCAGTGGTCTCTGAAATACTTAGTATCTGGTGACCTTGCTTACAGGATGCTATACGGTCCAGGACAGTGATCCCCTGAAGGGGTCTTTAATACTTGAAGACACCCACTGTGGGGTGTGAAGATTGGGTCTCTGGCCCTGCGTGAAGTGCCTCTATGTGGAACATGTTTAGCAGTCCCCCCCATGATCCTTGTGTTTGGGGCTATGGCAAACATATGTTCTTCGGCTGGAGTGATATACCAGCATAGCAGTGTTTTAAAAAGGGACTCTTGGCCGTGATGCATGTGTGATGACGTTGTCACACATGACTGTGTGGTCACTATTTTGGGTTTTCCTCAGTAGGGGAATCACACATTTTCAGCAGCTCAGTGGTACACAGCTACAATGCAGCAAAGAGTGCAAATGCACCACCGCCAGGTCCTGTGGAGCCTAGTTGAAGTTCCGCTGTTTTATCCTCTCCTGACATTATCCAGGGAAAGGTGTTTCTGCCTCCAGGAAAGAGTCGCGCCCTAAGAGATCAGGTTTCAATTTGAAGATCAGGAAGTATCCTTTCATTCGTCTCTGCATGAGGTTAATGGGGGCAGTGCCCCATGCACAATTCTACTCAAAGCCTTTGCAGAGGCATATTTTGTCGGCATGGAACAAAAAGATTTTGCTGGATTGCCACATGTTTCTGTCCCCCCAGGTGTTGCAAAGCTTGAATTGGTGGTTGGAAGTGTGGAATTTGGAAAAGGGAAGATCTTTCCCACCAGTGATTTGGAAGCTGGTAACAACCGATGCCAGCCTCTCGGGTTGGAGGGCTGTTCTTGAAGGGACCACAGTCCAGGGGATGTGGTTGCCACATGAGAAGATCCTTCCCATCAATATCCTGGAGCTTCGGGCGTGCGGCTTGCCCTGAGATTTTGGACCAGGCTTCATCGTTGGCCAGTCAGTGTCCAGTCTGACAATGCTACAGCAGTGTCATAAATCAACCACCAAGGTGGTATCAAGAGCCAGAGGGCTCAGCAGAAGGTAGATCTCATTCTGGCTCGGACAGAAGGGCATGTTCCAGTTCTGTCAGCAGTATTCATTCTAGGGATAGAGAATTGGCAGGCGGACTACCCCAGTCTTCGGCGGTTGTTTCCGGGGGATTTTCTCTGCATCCTGAGGTGTTCTCGGCAATCTACCAGCATTTTGGGTACCCGGACATAGATCTATTGGCGTCAAGGTTAACATCAAGGTGGACAGGTTTGTGTCCAGGACGTGAGACCCTCTTGTGATAGGGGTAGATGCCTTGGTGATACCGTGGGATCAATTTTCCATAATCTATACCATTCCCCTGATTCAGTTACTCCTGCGGCTATTACACAGGATTCAAGATAAGGTGATTCCAGTGATATTAGTAGCACCAGCCTGGCCTAGGAGGTGTTGGTATGTGGACATTGTCAGGCTAGCAGTGGGTTATCCATGGCCTCTGCCAGATCAGGCCAGACCTGCTGTCTCAGGGACCTGTATTGCAGCCAGCTTTACGGTCACTGAATTTGACGGCATGGCTGTTGAGACCCAAATCTTGAAAGATAGGGGAGTGTCAGACTCGGTTATCCACACAATGTTGAACGCAAGGAAGCTGGTTTCTATTAACATTTATTATAGAGCTTGGAAGGCATATATTTGGTGTGAGGGTCGAAATTGGCACCCCCCGGAAGTATTTGATTGGAGAAAAGACAAAATTCTCCCAATCAGGAGTAGAAAAGAAATTGGCTGTTGGTACTATCAAGGGTCAGGTTTCAGCCTTGGCTGTTTTCTTCCAAAGACTGGATCGGTTTGTACTTTTTTTAAGGAAGTGATGCATACTGTTCCCCCTGTCAGACAGCCCCTGCGACCTTGGGACTTAAACTTGGTCTTGGCAGTTTTACAGAAACCACCATGAACCTAGTAGGGAGATTCCATTAGTTCTGTTTTTGGTGACAATCACCTCTGCAAGAAGGGCATCGGAATTGGCAGCTCTTTCTTGTAGGGAACCATTTTTGGTTTTACATCACGATATGGTGGTGTTACAGCCTCATCCGTCCTTTTTGCCAAAGGTGGTTTCTAGTTTTCATCTTAATCAGGACATTGTTCTGCCTTCATTCTTTCCTAGGCCATAGTCGGCAAAAGAAAGATCTTTGCATGCCTTGGATGTAGTTCGGGCAATAAGAGTCTTTTTAAGAATGATGGCACAGATTAGAAAGACTGATTCCTTGTTTATTTTACCGGATTATCCCAGGAGAGGACAGACGGCATTTAAATCAACTATTTGTAAGTGGATTCGTAAGTTAATCATTCAAGCCTATGGTTTGAAGAGCAAGGTTCCACTCTTGCGGGTGAAAGCACACTCTACCAGGAGTGTGGGGGCATCTTGGGCTATCCTCCACCAGGCATCAGTTGCTCAGGTTTGCAAGGGTGCTACATGGTCTTCGGTTCACACATTCACATGGTTTTACCAGGTGGGTATCAGAGCCATGGAGGATTCTGCTTTTGGCCACAGTGTTATATATATAGCTGAATAGCTTCCTTTTGGGATTTTGGCTGTGTTTATTGTAATGTCACCCACCCCTCAAGGTTATCGCTTTCGGACGTCCCACATAGTCATTATTATGGCCCGTTCTGTGTCTTGTAATGTACGAGAAAGAAAATTGGATTTTTTTTCTACATACTTACCTTTAAAATCCATTTCCTGGAGTACATTATGGGACACAGAGGTCCTTCCCCTCTTTCTTGATTTTTTTATTGCTTGCTTTTTTGAGTACTTACTGTGTAGGAGGGGTTATATGGGGGAGGATTTCTTATTTGATTGGTCGGCCAGTGTCCATTCACTTATAGGTGGCATATAACCCACATAGTCATTATTATGGCCTGCTCTGTGTCCTGTGATGTACTCTAAGAAATGGATTTTACAGGTATGTATGTAGAAAAAAAATCCAATTTTACAATGCTGATATTATACAATGAATAGGCCCACCATGAAAGTGCCCACACTCTGGATGAAGAAGCAAAGTGGGACTTTTGGACAGTAGCATTGTCAGTCTGGGGTGAGGGGAGTGTTAAATGAACTAGCATGTTTACAAAAAACAAATTGAAGCCAAACTTCAGCTAACACTTTAAAGGCAGTTACAGCAAACAGTTTTTTTTTCCTTTTGGGGTAAAGGTTTTACATAAATAAAGGCTGATCATTGTATGCACCGGTTTCAGTGGTAAATGGTTTGTCTTATCCCTGTCACTGCAAGAGAGCTTGTTCTTTTGAAAAATAACAGACATAGTGGCTGGATCACCAGGTGAAAATAATGGAAAGATAGTGTAAAAAAGAAAACCAATGCAGCCACCACATTTTAAGAATTGTTAAGGTGCAATATAATACATGTTTGCTTTTGGGTTTAAAACTGATTTAAAAATGTAGTTCTCTCATAGAAACAAAGGCAGGTGGAAACACCCAAAACTCCCATGTGGACAGGAATACAAGTAGTATTTGAATAAGGCTTCATTTATAACTAAATACTACATTTGAGTGGACTGGCGCCCTTTAAACATTACTGTTAAGAAATCATGCAAATGACATGACTGGAAGAATAATAAATAAAAGTCTCCAATATTCTTACCCTACTTATTCAAAGCTTCGTGTTTCCCAGTACAGGAGAAGTGGGCTTTAATCATTTGTTTTTATCATTGACTTTAGGAAGAATGCAGAGTATATGTATTACTTTTCGGAGCTTGCTCTCTCACTGAATGCTCTAGAGGAAGGCGTCGCTATGTCAGATAGCCGCCTGCGTCCTGATCAGAGGCTGATGGAGAATGGCAACTGGGATGAGGCCAATCTAGAGAAACAGAGACTGGAGGAAAAGCAGAGGACTGCAAGGCGGAAGAGAGAAGCAGACAGAGAGAGGGCTGGAGAAAGTGGTAAGAGGAAACAAACTCCCAGTCATAAAGGCATATAAGAAAATGTTTGAAATAATTCTGTATGAAAAATCAAAGAGAGTTTACTTTGTTTTCAAAGGTGACATGACTAATTGCTACATAATGTAACCCCATTTTTTTTTCCTGTTTTCGTGGCTCCAGTTTTCAGCCCCTTTGTGCTCCAGCTGGCGCTTCTGTTTACAGTGTGTGTTGGGGAGTATGGGGTGGGAGGGGGAAGATCTGGTATTGGATAGTCCTTTTAAAAAGTTCTCCAACCTACATTAATCCTATTGATAGAGTGGTGTCCACTTCCTCTACCCAAAATGTTAATTTATTTAGCTGATTGCCATATGTTATCTGGAGCAATGTTGTAAAAACTTGGACAGATTGCTGCAGACCTTGTTGTGCAGTGGCCAGACCAGAGATAGCCCAGCTCCCTCTACACCCTGACATCAGATGATTCTGGCCAACCACATCATGGATGATCTTACCATGTAGTTCAGTTGGAATGGCGTGTTGTCTCTGTTCTTCTAGTCTGTTCTTTGTAGCAGTATATAGCAAATGTGCTGTAGGTAGTGGGATCAGGAGTTTGGCGGCCAAGTCTGCCTTGGTAAAATATGAGGGGGGGCCACTGATATCTCTATCTTGTCTACACTGTCCAAAAGAAACACTTTGGCCAGTGTCCCACTTTTATTATAAAATTGTAAGTGTAGTTTTTTTGGCATTGTTAAATAAAGAGTGCTAATTCTCAACTTTAAAGAACTCCAGAATAGGCAAAAAAAAAAATCACCCATTAGTACACCCCCCCCCCCCCCACACAAACACTAAACAGTTAATACAATTTTGAAAAACCTTACCACTTAGGAGAAAAGTCTAATTGAATTGTCATAAAACCTCATCCCAGTAATTCAAACGATAACAGCATCTGCTCTGCCAAGGACAAGGTATAATAGCCGGGATTACATCATATCCTCTGTTCTCTCTCTCTCTACAGTAAAAGGAAACTACAATTCCCATCAACCACAGGGAACTGTAGTGAATGTGGGAGGTTACAGTAGGCCTGTATATTTTGAATGTGTCTTGAGAGTCTCAGTCTACTCACCACTTCAAGTGGGGCTGAATTACATCACTGCTTCCTGGAGAAACCACTAGAAAAGGGATGTGCCAATACTAGTGGCTGGGGGAATAGGAGGCATAGCAGCCAATGGTCTTACAAAAAGGAAAACCAATGAGAATTAACAGTTTGATTTGAAAATGAATAGGATATTTCAAAGCAACTACTGAGAGAGCCAGAAGATGAATGACATATTCAGTGAAGATAGGAAATCAACAAGGACATAAAGAAGTTTTTGCTGGGAGTTCTGCTTTGAAGCAGCTCTGATGCTCAATGTGTTTTCTTTATCATACATCCCAGGACACAAGTGATCTTCATATCATTTCAATAGGGTTATGCTGCCAGCTTCAGGTGATTGGAAACTGGAAAAAGACAGGAAATGCCGCCTAGGAGTAGCTTCAGTTATTCTGCCAGTGTCTTAGGTGATGGTCATCCTTGTGTAGTCTCTGTAAATGATATATTTTCCAGATAATATGTTCTCAAGTCGTCCCAACTGGGAACATGAGACTAGGTCATCCAGATCTGATGCCTATGGCCTATTTCTAAGAGGAATGGAACAATGACCGTGCTTCAGACATGTGGGGACAGCCTGTAATATGATCCTTCGACACTGGACCCTGAACAGTTATCTATTGTCTGGAGGACCAAACAGCAGGGTGCTTTGTAGGTCAATGATGGTGATCCCCAGCTGGGGAAGTCATGTCCGCAAGGCCCTAGTGTTGTGCCAAGATTGGTGACATTTGGGCCCCCGCAAGTTGTGTGGTGTGGACTGGTGAGTGCCCTGGTATTGGGTCCCTCAGGTGGCTGTATCCTAGGGACAAGCACTTTTACCCAGGTGTTTAATAAAGATGTTTTACAAGCCCATGGACCAGTGCCAGGCTGTCCCAAAAGCTACTAGACTGTAGTGGTGTTTAGGGGTGGACCGCGACTTTCTGGCGCAAATGCAAAGGGCTCTCCTATTGCTTCACTCCCCCTCTGTACAATTCATATGCAGGCACAGTGATGTTAGGAAGGGAAAGCTGAGAGAAGGCTGCCATCTTGGAGAGTCCCATGTGCTGTCCGAACTGGAATTCCCAGACTTTGCTGACTAACATGGTGGACACAGCAAGTATTGTTTTGCCTGGCTACAGTGCTTGCCTTAGGGAGGTGGTTTCTGATACTAAATAGTGGGTCCTACTCTAGTACAGCCCATCCAAAAACTGAGGGGTATATACAGGTGTTTTGTATTTGCTTTCCCCTCATCTGGCTTGCTTTCTCATAGCAGGAGGTCAAATATATTGCTGGTGGGCCCATGTCTCAGCGATGGCTATTATCAGGTTGGAAGGAACCTGGCCTTAGTCCCTCTTGCAATATCTTCCCTGGTGGTTTTTATTCCTTCCATTTTGTCTGGTCTTTCCACTTACCTCTGGGGCATCTTCCTTCTGTTCCTTTGAATCAAGGGAAGAATTTTCGGCTTCCATTGCTGGCCTACAGAAAAAGCTTGCTGGAGTCCTTTTGGTTTGCATTGCCTGGATTACAAACAGAAATGCTCTCCTTCCCCTCCTCCCTTTCCGTTGATGGAAGAGGAGACCACTGAGGAGCAGCTAAAGGCAGAAGTGGAGGGGGTGAAAATTTTCTGAAGGATGGGGACGTGAATCATTCCTCCGTAGACTGAACCCTGAGATTGCTAAATCTCAAATCTAAAAGGCCTGTGTTGGTTTTCTCACAGAAATGTTGTGGACCAATTTAAAATGACCACTTTCAGAATCCTCTTCATGTTTCCTAAGATTATGGGTTTGGCTGAATTCAAAGAACAAAAGGTATACCGCTCAGGCAAACAATCCGGATCAATCCCCAGCAGGTGCAGGGCTCTGGCTCTTCACCACACACAATACAATAGGAAGAAGGGTCAGCCACACACATGGTCCTGTATTCATGTCCTGGTGTTTTGTGTATCCTATGGATTAATAAATACACACTATATTCATCTATCCTCCGGAGTGCAGCTGACCCTTCTTCTTATGGGTTTGGCTAGCAGCCACAGCATCCCAGTCCTTGCCTGTAAAGAATGTATTATACATGGACTGGACTAAGAAATGGAGTATGCCAGTGGTGGACCCAGCAGTTCCATTTCTCAATAAGTCTCTTTGTGGTTCCACTGGACAAAGCGCTGGTATATAAAGATACTTTGGACAATTGTCTGGAATCTTTATTTAAAGACTCCTTCACTCTAGTGGAAACCGCCTTACAACTGGCAATTGCAGCTGTAGAGGTGTCAGAGCCCTAAGGGCTTGGTGCCTTCTAAAAGATAGGGATCCTGACCATAGGGATACCGTGTCTGACAAATGTCTGGAGAAATCCTTGCACTTTATTCCATGGTGGGTGCCCTGAATGCCCACTTAACAAATTACTCATTTGGGTGTTTTGTCTGTGCACGGAATTCATTTAGATAAATATGTATCACTCTGGGAGGGGGGACTTTGCACTTCTTCACAGACATTTGGACATTGCAAATGATTTGTAAGATAACAGATTTCTTTGTGTGATGACAACACCCCCACATTAGAGGGCCTGAGTTCCGAATGTTGGAATATGTAGGCCTGGTTATGAATCCTTGTGACTAACCCTTACCCCAACCTTTCTCTGGGAACTGGGTGGAGCTGCTTAAAACTCTGACACACCCCTGGATTTGGCATTGTATTAAGGTTCTGGGAAAGGTGGTTGCCTCATGCTGCCCAGTTTCCTACTTTTGCCCAGTTTTATTCCAGGCTCCTCCAGGAGGACACAGTCATTGGACCCCCTGATGCATTTACACCCCAGAACAAGACTGCCTTTGGGCTGGTGGATCTCCTTGCAAATGCTGACGACCAGGGCTGCTGTTAAAAATCACAGGGCCTCCAGTCCCCCCCAAAAAAACAAAAAAACAAGCACAGTTTACTATGCATCAGTGAATGAACACAATGAGTGATCAGTATTGACTTCAGGAAAGGAAGGGGCTGGTAGATGTGACATCCTTTACGGATCCTTCAGAATTATCCTTTTGTGTGCTTGCAGCTGCAGGTGGGAAGGTAAGAAGAGAAGCCAACAGCACTGTGGGGGTGGGGGCACATAAGGAAGCCTGAGCAGCATGGGGAATTGTATCGTGTATAAGGAGGATGCTGGGTGCGGTGGCATGGGGGCAATTACTGGAACCGATCCCTTGTAAACCAGTGGGAAGAGAGAGGAGAAGAAGCCAGCTTTTAGCTGTTGCAGAGTGCCACATGGGGGATTGGTTCCAGTAATTGCCTGCTTCTCCGGATTTGGATGGAAGGTGATCCTGATTGCCCCAGTCTGGCCCAGGAGGATGTGACACTCAGATATAGTAAACTTGGTGGTGGACGAAATGTGGATTCATACCGATCAACCCGACCTCTTGTCGCAAAGTCAGATCTTCCTCTTGGTCTCTGGCTTAAACAGCATGGCCTGGGAATAACAAGTGTATGCAATTGTCATCTTTACCTTTCTGAAGGTGCGAACTGTAACTTTGTGGAACATTTATGATCAGACTTGGAAGTCTTATTTTGCCTGGTGTCTGTATGATGTTTGTGCAGTCCGTTTACCTGAAGGTGACTGCTGTGGTGACTCTTTGTGCTTTCTGAAGGGGACCAGAAGGTTCATGCAACTTTGAAATCTACCATTTCTTGTTAGATCTGTCAGCTTATTTCTCAAGGTTGCAGTCTGAAAAGCAAATTCCTGCTTTTCGCAGTTATGGCTTATTCTGCCAGGAGTGTTGGTGCTTCCTGGGGTATTCAGTATTAATCTTCGGTAGATAAGTTTGTAAGGCTGCTACCTGGTCTTCGGTTCATACTTTTATGAATTCATGCCGGGTGGACATTTAGGCTTCTAAAGATGTGACGTTTGGTTGGCAGGTATTGCAGGCTGCTGTGCAAGGCTCAAACCTGTTCTCGTTTGTTTGTTTTGGGGCCTATTTGGCTTGTTGCCATTTTTCCCTCCGCTCATACGCCGTGCTTTGGGACATTCCACAAGATGAAAAAAAAAAAGCAGTTTCTTCAGAACACAAAAGGTAATCAGGTATTCTTTACAAAGAGAACACAAGGCTAAGAAAAATTCCCTTGCAAAGTGAATAGCCTATTCGTCTTCGGTAAATCAACACCATGTGATCAAGGCTGGCTTGGCTTTAGGATCTTCAGAAGTAGATGACAGAACATAGATTGCGGCCTTCTGAAGAGAAAGAAAGATGAAAGCATTGTCCAGAGAACAGCTTTTGATTACATCCTGTCATTGGATGAGGCACCCATGAGGATGTAGTGGAACCCAGAGGAGTCAAATTATCCTGAGCGGGGACCGCACAGATACACAAATGCATTTGACACTTTTTTTGGGGTTTTTTTTTGTTACAGAGTCCTATTGTGCCCAAAGTGGTGGAGCACTTAAGGTGTCATGGTGTTTTGAGTACCCACTGATTGTGCAGACCAGGACCTTCATCCATTATTTGAGACAGTTTGTTCTATTTTTACCTTTTGGAACTATTTATATTATCTGTGCACCTGTACAAGGACTCGCGTATATCTTTATTTATGTCACTTGATGTATATTGTTGTAATTAGCGTGGCACTTTTGATTTATATAATGGTAGACTTGCCTGTCAAACATTGCCCTCCAGCACTTGCACTCCAGCTAGGCACATGCGCTCCCATCTTCCCCCAGTTCTCCTTCTGAATTCGCTCTGTTCGAAGACTTGAATGGCTAGGCCATGATGGTGTCACTCCCTTGTATGTGCACAGGAGTCACTTCATCACGGTACAGAGTGGTGCTGTAAAATATACTGTGCTGCGCATGCGTGACTTAGGCTAGGTTCATATATGTGCGGGTGGTGCCACTGCAGATTCGCACAAAAATCCGTGCAGCCGCGCCACCCACATAGAAGAATGCGGACCCGTGGGCGGGTGCCATTAATTCTAATGGCATGCCAGCCACACTGGAAATCACAACTGCACTGGGAACAGAGGTTCCCGCGAGGACTGCATTTTCAGAAGAAGTGAAGGGACCTCTTTCCTGCGTGTCCCGGGGCACGGGAGTACATTCAAATGAATGGGCTCTTAGTGCCCCCGCAGGAACACAGATATGTGAACCAGGGGTCAGTGTACATTACCGCTGACAGGCTGGGAGATACATTGAAGCAATAGACTGACAGCCTTTATATTACCTTATTATAGGTTTCCTTTAATGTACTTGATAGGCGGAGGGTCATTTACAGCAGGTCACAGCTAAGGAAAGTTATTGCCAAGAAAAGAAATTTGGTGAGGTTTGGCACAGGCTGTAAACAGGAAGACTCAACTGACCTTATGCATTAAGGAAAAAAGTTGCTGCAAGGAAAAAGTAAAAATTGCAGGTATGAATGAGCCATTACCTGTCACCATCTTCGATTGGAGGCATTTGGGTTCTTTTTTTTTTCTCTTCTCCGTTTGCCGCAGTTGTCTGGATCATAGGGCTGTTTCAAAAACTTCATCTTTTGTCATTGTGAGTGCATTACTTACTTTTTCCTATAGCGTGTGTTTGGCACAGACATACGTTTTGTAAAGGTTGTCAGATAGTGGGGTTGCATATTGATCGTTGCAGATAGTCACACTTTTAGACCAGAGTCATCCTTTAATTTTACCTTGTTTTTTTGGTTTTTTCTTCAGATTCTCCAGTGGATCCCTACAAACCACTGTGGTTTGACCGCAAGATGGATCCTGTGACCAAGGAAATGACACACATCTACCGCGGCACTTACTGGGATGCTAAAGAACGGCAGGATTGGAATGCCTGCCCAGATATCTTTTAAGGGACAATGGGAAGTGACAACATCTCGATCCCCTCCCATGTCCTCTTCCACCCCATGCTCTCTCCTTCTCTTTTTACCTTCAGTGATGCCTTACTGACCCTAGTTCAGCCCCCCTTTTTGGATAGGGCAATGCTCTGCAGACATTTCCCATGGTGCTTTGCTCCTGTTTTGTCACCCATGGCCCATCCAGGCCTTTATTCATCAAACTTTTTTGTGCAGAAGCAGTATTCTTGTTACCCATAGCAACCAATTCTTTTTCAATCTCTTTGTGCAATATGGAGAAATTAAAGGGGCAATATATGGACAGCCAGTTCAGGCTTTGGACCTTTTTGCAAACAAAGCCCACTGTATCTTTTTCATGTATGGGAATGCTTATACCAATGCTGCAAACCATAATTTAAGAGCACTTATGTAGTGCACAGGCAACAAATCCTAAAGTATACATACAGTGAGCACAGATGGGTTATATAAAGGGTCAGTTCACTCTAATGAACTACTATGTGGGTAATGGGTAGGCACTCCTGAGTAGAATCACCAACTGGCTTGTAAGTAGGGACTTTCGTCAGCATTTGACAACCATTGGGCCCATCCCACTGCTGCTATTGTCCCTTGTAAGTCTCCTGTTTTCTGATAGGGAAAATGCATCGGTAAAATGGATGCTCCTTTTGGAAGGACTGCAACTTATGGGGGGGTGGAGAACCCATAGGGACTACTTGAGGAATTTAAGGGGCCTGCTTTGATATTCCCAATTAGGAAAGTGGCTGGTTGGGTTACCTGCTGGCTTTGTGTTTCTCTCTGGGATTCTTGTAGTTTCCAGGAGGGTAGTTGTTAAAGAACAGGAAGACTGAGAGTCGCTGATGTTACATGTCAGAGCCAGAAGATTCTTGGGGAGATCTGCCCATAACTGAAATAAGTTTTTGGGGGGTTACCCAACATCCATAACTGCCAATCAGAAATCCACTGGTTACAATATGTGGGTTGAAGGATAAGTTCACCTTTTGGACAAAAATAATAAATTCACATTTTTTTGCAGGTAATAAAATGTGCATTATTTTTGTCCAACGGAGCCTGTAAAGCATTGCACCAGCGATCAGTAGATTGCTTATATCACGGGTGTCAAACTGGCGGCCCTCCAGCTGTTGCCAAACTACAAGTCCCATGAGGCATTGCAAGACAGACCGTTACAAGCATGACTCCCAAAGGCAGAGGCATGATGGGACTTGTAGTTTCGCAACTGCTGGAGGGCCAGCAGTTTGACACCCCTGGCCTATGCCATGCAGGTCTCCTGAAGATCTGTCAGAATATCTTCTTGGGATGTACAAACAAGCAGATATTCTGGCAGAAAGCTTCAGTGAACTACCACGATGCCATGGTAGTTCATTGAAAACTACAAGCCCGCATCCGCTAAGGCTGCCAGGATTTGTAGGCACTCGTTCACAGAACTCTGTTTTCAAATCTGACAGAAGTTTCCCTGTACTATGTCAGAGAGAGAGGGGGGCGGCAGGCACGGCTGCAGCTTTGGGAACATGTTCCATGTTCCGCCCTAAAAACGGGTGGAACATGTAACACGTTCCTAACTTAGTCTTTAAATTGGTTTTGTGTTTGGTAGCTATTGGTTACTGCTAGCAATAACTGTTTGCACTGCTACTGTAGGCAAAAACAGATGTTCTTCCTTTCTACTAAATAAGGAACTGCTGTGTGGTTTCTCCAATAGAATCCTTCCTCTCTGACCAATAAAGACCAATAAAAAGAAAGGAAAGTATGACCAACAGGAATTTGTCAACCATAAAAAAAAAAGTTCTATGAAATGAAAGAACTTGGAAATGTTTTAAAGTGACCCTGTCATCCAAAAATCTTACATTGCTGTTTAAGTGCAGGCTCCTTGTGGTGCCTGAAAATACCGGTCTACTGTACTAGTCTTCAAATCAATTTGTGCTTGAGAAAGGTTGAAGGCCCAGGCTTGTATACTGAGCCTGACTTATCTACAAGTTGAAACAAAGCCTTTTTTGCTCTGAAAGCATACTCTGACAAAGGGAGTAAATCTTTAATAAGTAAGCTTGCACAAATGTGATGTGGGAATTAATTTTCAGGTCATTTCAAAATCCCAAACTTGACTAGTGTTCTTTATCCAAAAATTGCTGGCAGGTGCAGGCACATCAGTGTTGCACATACCTGCTACAGCACGGGTGTCAAACAGCTGTTGCCAAACTACAAGTCCCATGAGGCATTATAGGATTGACAGTTACAAGCATGACTCCCAAAGGCAGAGGCATGATGGGACTTGTAGTTCCGCAACAGCTGGAGTTCCTCCAGTTTGACACCCCTGATCTACAGCTTTCACTCCCGCTGCTCTGCATAAATACCATGACATTGATTAGGCGTAGCTTTCTCTACTGTCTTCTCCCGCACATTCCTAATAACCAGTGAGGTGACGTCTAACTGTGATCAGCTAAAAGAAATGTTTGCAAGACAGAAGGGGGTCAGCAAGCTCTAAGACTACCAGAGATTGACCATGCTTTGCTTGAACAGGAAAACCCATCATTGGAGGCGCTTAAAGCTGAGATACCTGCATTTTATACTTGTGGGCAAATTTATTTATTTTTTGCGTCTGCAGTCCTTTTAAGCTAGGTGTCGCACTAGTAAGTTCTGATACATTGAAACAATAGTGGCAAGGCCCACAAACTGCATGTCTTTGAAGTGACCTGAAATATAGACCGCTTTGAGGATCGGTGTTGAGCACCAAGGTCTGGAGCTCTGCCACTCCCAACACCTCTCTGGTTACCAAATAGTTAAAACTCTATTCTCTTTCTTCTGTGGCACCACACACTTACTACCAAAACTAGCTGCGGGGACAGCTTTCTTACTGCAAGGAAGAAGCCTCTGTCAGGGAAAGTGGCAGTTGCCTTCTGGTGATTCTATTGTTGGTGTTGAATCACCAACAATTACCAATGTGTCACATGAATTGGTGTCACATGGCCATTAGGATGACAAGGTTTTCATTCATGCATACCTAATATTTTCTTTGCGCTGTTACATAGTTTAATCCCTTGTTTGCGTGTAAAGAAAAGTTCTGTTTTGTTTTGTTTTTTTATCACACATCAATTGCCCAGAAGAACAGGCTTGACAGTGGAGCAGAACTGAGCAAATGGATTTGTGCAGTAAAACCAAATTCATAATTATGGAGGATCAGCAAGACCCCAATCCCTGTACAATGCTAGATTCACCAATCGGTAGATGGATTTGCTTCTCCCTCCTGAGCAGGGTTCATGCAAATCAAAGCAAGCCTGGTTACGTCGTGGACATGTGCCATGTACTGCTTGACTGTCCTCTTTAGTTTGCTTTGCCGGCATGAAGCTGCACCAAACAAAAATCAGTCTTTGTGAAGAAGGGAAATTCAAGCTTGTTTGCGTAGGAAAGGTCACTGTTGGTAAAAATGTGAAATGATTCTGTTGCTAGCTGGGTAGGTTTCAATCCAACCAGGTCTTAATTGAAGCAGGTAAGATCTAGCTGGGTCAAAACACATCAGCGGAGACTGCAGTCCGTTCTCTCGGGACTATAAACATTTGGGTGAGCTGACCCTAAACTCAATAGGTAATTTACAGCTGTGAGTTCATTGGATTAACGGTCGTTTTTTACACTTTAGTAGTCTTCTGTATGAGATACTTACCAGTCAAGAAACAGAACAGTGTTTTGAGATAAACCACACTGCCAGCGCCATGCTGCTTGTAGTGAAAATAGACTAGTTACTTGGGTAAAACATTGGAACAAAAAAGGCCAAAATCTACCCCATCAGGAGTCTGGAGCTTATCTTGGTACCTAGTTATTTGGGTAAAACATTGGAACAAAAAAGGCCAAAATCTACCCCACCAGGAGTCTGGAGCTTATCTTGGTACCTTGGCACCATTTTTATTTTATTTTTAAGTCCCGTCATAATAGAAACATGGGAGCTGCCATTGCCAACGTGTTTATTCCCTTGTTAGTATCACATCAAATAGAGAAGCAAGTCAGAGAGACGCTATAGCAGCTACCATGTCTTCTGACCAATCTTTATGTACATGGGTGAACTTTTATGCTCGCGTGTCCCATGACTAGTTTTAACTCGTAAATGACCTAGTCTGCATTACCAAAGCCCAAATCTTAACCTGGGCTTGCATAACAGGTCTCAGTCTGCAGAGCATTGCTCCCAGAACTCTTTCACCAGGTCTCCAAACCATCTCACTGCCCCCACCTTGAGCGCTAGGGTGGGTGGGGGTGCTGTCTTCTGCCTTATGTTTGATTTAATCTCTGTGATTTTTGGGTTTGTTGTGTGCATACGTTTTTTTTTTTTTTTCGTTTTGTTTTGGGTTTTTTTTGTCTTGTTGTGGGGGAAGAGGAAGGCCGGGGACTGTACAATGTCTGACACCTCTGCTATAATTTTAATTTTTTTTTTTTTTGGGCGAACAATTGAGGGTTTTGCTCTGTCAGTCCTGCCCCGACGTATATAAATATATATATATATAATGTATATTTTTCATTTCTGTCACTCTACCTCTCACTATTTGTCTCTCACCTTTTTTGTTTTGTTTTCATTTTTTTTTTGTTTTTTGTTCTATTTGTTTTTGTCTCTCTCGATTTCTGTGCAAATACTAAATTAAATAAAGATCAGATGACACTTCTTGAGTTGCCAGAAAACTTTTTTAATTTATTTTATAACAACATTTTGTTGGAATGTAGATCATGTGTTATAGCTATGGTGAAAAAAAAACTCCAGCTTAGCCTGGTTAGAGCTGACACAAGGCAAAGGAAAACCTACCCATGTGAAAGCTTTCGGGTCTAAATGGTTAGCACTTCTGCCTGGCAGTACTAGGGTCATTGGTTTGAATCTCAACCTCGGCACCACCTGCCTGGAGTTTGCATGTTCTCCCTGTGCCTGCGTGGGTTTCCTCCAGGTACTCCGGTTTCCTCCCACACTCCATGCTGGTAGGTTAATTGAATCCTGTCTAAATTGGCCCTAGTATGTG